CAGCCTGGTCTACACAGGGAAACCCTGTCTCGAAACCAAAAAAAAAAAAAGAGTGGGGCTCAGGAGTGGCATAACCATAGATGGGGTTTCCACGGACGAGGTGACCAGTGGACCTCTAAGATAAAGTGGGATAGGAATGCAGGGGAGAGAGAGTAGACACCAGGCGGGGCTGGAGCTGTGTCCAACCTGTCCGACTTGTCCTCATCTCTGCTCCAGCCTGAAGGGTTGCTCATAGCCAGTGCTGTTGGCTTGGCAGGTCTGGGAATGGGTTCTGGACCCTGACTGGGCCAACCTGGACTCTTCCAGGGTTGTTTCCAGAGGTAGAGATGGGATGCTCCAGATTCCCACACTAAGGAGGGTAGCTGGTCAAGATCCTCCTATGATGTCTCAAAGCAGGTTCCTGCACCCACCGCAGCTGCCCTAAGTCCCTCTGTGTGCGCTGGGCTCTCCAGCCTGCTTTGGGGCGCCTTACACCTCTAAGACTGTCATCCTGGGATGTGTGTGCTTGTATATAGGCAGCAGAACCCCTACAAGTCTCTGGCTTTGCACTCAGTAACTCCATGCCCTCAGATGCTTCCTCTGGTCCCTATCCATGGATCCCCTTAACTTCTTTGCTGAGGAGACAGCAGAAGAGCTGTTTGGGGTGATTCTAGTCAACTCGAAGGGGAGAGGTCTCAATTCTCTTCTCCTTCCCTCCCTGACACTGGGGAAATAGCCTTCAAGGCCAGAAAGAACTCAAGTAACTGCCTTTGGTAACGAGATAAAGATCTGGGGTTGGTTTCTGAGAATCTTGGAAGCTACCCGGTCAGCACTGGGGAGAAAACCCCCATGGATTAGGTGTGACTGCCAGAGGTTCTAGGCTTAGAGCAGTCTGGGCCCAGCTGGAACACAATGGAACATTGTTGAAAGCCGTGATTTGTGATTCATACGTGGAGTACACCCCTGTCAAAGGAACCAGGGCATTGAGAGTTGGCAAGCCCTCGGGTTGACGCGTTTCAAAAGCCCCTTCCGCTTCCTCTCCTGCTTTGGGCGTATCCCTTCAATACTTCCTTTGCTAGGACTGAAGGCCTCTGGCTCTCCTGTGTACGATAGGCCAACTCTATAGAAACCTCTATTTCCTGTCTCCCTTGGCATTAGTAAGGCCCAAATGTGGGAAAAGCGAGGACAGAACTCTCCTCTGAGGGACAGATTATGTCGAAAGGAAGGAGGCTTGACCCTGGACACTCCCATCTCTGCCGAGGGATCAGGTATCCTGTTAACACACGATAAACTCAACAGACAGCTAGGTGTCTGGAAACAGGTGACCATACTGACACCCCTATGGAGACAAACCATGCTAACACCAGCACAGAGGCAGCTTGTCAAAGGTGGGGCAACTTTCGTGTCACGGAGAAAAATGACCACTGGGGCTGGAGTGACAGCTTAGCAGTTAATAGCACTGATCGCTCTTACAGAGGACCTGAGTTCAATTCCCAGCACCCACATGGTGGCTCACAGCATTTTGAACTCCAGTTCCAGGAGGTCCAATGCTCTCTTCTGGCCCCTGTGAGTACCATGACATACGTACCTAAAAGCAAGTACCCACAGATATTAAAAAGGAAAGAAAAAGAATGACTGTCTGACAAGAACATAACATAATGTAAAAATCTATAAATCTTGCAGTCCTGTTTAGAGCATTCCTGCTAATCTTATGCCCACTTGACACAAGCTAGAGTCATCTGAAAGGAGGGAACCTCAACTGAGAAAACACCTTCATAATATTCAGCTGTAAAACATATTCTCAATTAGTGATCAAGGCGGGGGGAGCCAGCCCATGGTGGGTGGTGCTATTTCTTGGCTGGCGGTCTTGGGTTTTATAAGAAAGCAGGTTGAGCCGGGCAGTGGTGGCGCACGCCTTTAATCCCAGCACTTGGGAGGCAGGTGGATTTCTGAGTTCGAGGCCAGCCTGGTCTACAGAGTGAGTTCCGGGACAGCCAGGGCTATACAGAGAAACCCTGTCTCAAAAAAAAAAAAAAAGAAAAGAAAAGAAAAAAGAAAAGAAAGCAGGTTGAGCAAGCCATGGTGAGCAAGCCAGTAAGCAGCACCCCTCCATGGCCTCTGCATCAGCTCCTGCCACCAGGTTCCAGCCCTGCTTGAGTTCCTGTTGCGACTTGGTTTTTTGTCATGGTGTTTCATCATAGCAATAAAAACCCTGACTAAGACAGAGGTCTCGGGAGAAGTGCCCCGTCCGTATGTCCATTCATGGATGACATGTGTCTGCATTCATCTTACAGGGGAACACTATCCAGCCATTAGAAAGAAGCACTCAGACACCTGCTGCAGCTGGGTGAGTCCAGAGGACACTGTGCTGAACAAAGTGACCAAGGCACACAGGACAAGTAGTGTTTGATACTGGTGATGCCAAGGTCCCTAGATTGGTCACTTTCCAAGAGTCAGCAGGTTGAACTGGGGAGGGTGGCATTACTCAACAGACTCTCAGCTCTACAAGGTGAAAAGGTTCTGGAGATGACGGGCTCCTGAGAAGTGCTCCTCCCTACAGAGTGGTCAAATGGCCATTTTATAATGAACCTCAACCACGTTCAAGTTAAATGCTGAGAGACCTGTCTGGTTTGTCGTGTTGAGGCCTCCGGGGCAAGCAGGCAAGAGTACAGCTCAGCACCGCCCACGAGAAAAACTAATCAACGTGAGAACGTTGCCAACGCCCACCTATAGGATCCGAAGAGAGAGTTGCAACCCCTTGTGAGGAATGGAAGGCAGAACTCCAGAGAAGGCTGATCAGCTTGCGGAAGGCCGTGTCCACTTGTGCCAGAGCTATCACACCCCTTTGCCCTCCAGAGATCAGGTATGAGTGGCATCGTGGTCAGGAGTGGTCAAGCAGTGGCATCACAGTCAGAGCCCAGGGAGGATCTTACTATGCACTAGATTCCTTGAAGGTCATGGCCCACGAACAGCTGCTTTCAGAGAGTTAAGACAGGCTGTCTTCAGGCCCGCATGCCAGCTGCCCGCCTCACACCCCTGAGGGCCGGCTTTCTAGGGACTGTACTACCACCCACACAAATATGTAAATGTCTGTTAGGGGTGAGGTGAGAAAGAGGCCTCCAGCCTCACAGCCTTGAAGCCTGGCGTGACTCTCAGGGAGCAAAGTAAAGAATTCCTGTCTTTGGACTTATGCAGGGATCTGCTGTCTTGGTCAGGGTCATGACCTTTCAAACTGCTCTGTGAAGCTCTGCCTCGTCAGTTAGCTCTTCTGAAGGTGTAACTGTACACAGGCTACCAAGGCCAGCTTCGCCTTCAGTTTTGAGGACACTGGGGACTGTCAGGGATGAGACCAACACCCCCAAGCCTAGAGCCAGCCTCTGGGTTAGGTGTGGTTAAGCTAGCGGTGGGTACCAGCGGTGGCCACCTGGCCTTTGTTAGCATTTTGTCTAAACTGCACCCCCACACTTACCTGGCAACAGCCAGGTAGGCCTGGCCCACTATAAAAGGGGCTGCTTGCCTCTCTCTTGATCTCTTGATCCCTCTGTCCCCTCACCCCTTCCCCTTCCCTTCCCCCTCTCTCCACATGGTCATGGCTGGCCTCTACTTCTCTTCTTCCTCTCTCCTCTCCTCT